CTTTGCCGGTTGGCTTTTATGATATCTTTGTTGACAAAAAAAAACTAGCCGTCCACATCCACAAATAACTAAAACTTTTATGTAAAATCCTATTCCGGTCATATCTATGCAAAATAGTCGAATTTAGTTTAGTTTAAAATTTATAAGAGTGCTACTAAACGAATCCTAAAATTAACTGAGTACACCCTAATATTTTAATCAAAATGTAAAATTAACTAAGTACACTTATTTAACTACCAAAAATACCCCTACACCCTAATACACTCTATCACACTATACCCTAATGCCAATCCTAAGTGGTTAATTATGAGTAGTTAATTCAACAGATGAAACAGACCTAGTTCATAATTAGCCAAGAAATTGACAAATTCCTCATAATTTTTGGAAAAACCGAATCAGACCCAAATCAAAATACACAGAGATAGCACAGGAAACAACAAGAGACCGTTTATGCTTGTACCCGAGAAAAGAATATGGGGTGAGCCCAAGACGAAGATCAAAGAGGCCAAGAAATCTCACTTTCCTCTGCTTCTTTTTGGTTCTTATGTGACCCCCCAAAAAAGATCAAGATTACTCATGTAGTATCACTGGAATTCCTCCCCTTTTAAATATCAATAGTTACATTGCTTGAATTCATTAGCAATCATAATCAACCAATAAAGAGAAAAGTAGCCTTCCGGATTAATAGATCAGTGGATCTGGGGATGAAATGATCGAATCGAACCATTGAAGTCTACAACAGTAAAGGGTATTGCCAAAAAAATGGGCTTGATTATCAGATTTTCTCTCTCTGTTCTTCTTTGTGACTCTTGCATACTTGACTACTTCCAATCCAATATCCCATTCTCCTCTGCCCTCCTTCCTCTTTCTCTTTCTATATGTTTACAACGTAATGAAATACAGACTTTAACAAAACAACAGTTTACTAACTTTATTTTTCAATCCGGCCCTTCATAATTTTGCCAAGACAACATATGCTTTATCAATGATTCGTTTTCCTCAAACGCATTATCGAAATATTAGCTATTACTATTTTCATTTTTCACTTTCTAGTGTCTTCGATAGAATCAAAAGTTTCCATGAAGCAAGAGAGACCGAAGCTTATCTCCACTATGTCACATATTCAATCCCCGTACACTTGGATCCAACTATAAAGTTTGTTAAGATATGTGTGTTCGCAAACTTTATACGCAACATACTATAATGTGATTTTTGACAAAACAATAGTTTACTTTCTAATCCGTCCTTTGATAGTTTTTTCGAGACAACGTATATTTTTATTTTACTAAATTTGCGCACTTAGTTATTCATAAGCATTGCCCTTAACTTCGGGGAAAGAAACAAAAGCCACAAAATTTATCGACAAGTGAGTTTCTTTAACTAAAAGAGAACCTTGTTTTTCCGCCATATACTTTATCAATTAAGTTAGGGAGTTTCACTAAAACACCCAAAATGGGGGTTGAAATTATAAAAAAACTCAAGTACTATTTAAACATATAAACACACCCAAAACCTATCATTACACACACTCAAAACTCATTTATAAACACACCCAAAAAGTTGACTTTGGGGTTGATTTTGGGTGTGTTTCTATGTTTAAATAGTGCTTGGGTTTTTTTATAAATACATGTCTAAGATTGGGTTTATTTATAAATTTGTAATTAAGTTATATGTAGATACTATATGCACCAGGAAAGACAGTACGTAATATTTTAACTTCGTGACAAGAAGTAAAAAACAAGACTTGTGTATAGGAATTAAATAAAAAAGATAAATTATTAGATTTATGAAGAAAGAAATTGAAGTGGTCCCTAATTATATTTTCACAAGTGAATAGAAATTATCTTAATTTATATACTTGATCAGAAATGCAACGGTAAAAAAAAAGAAAGTATCATTGGATTTTCTCATAAAGGAAAACTCGGTGCGTATGCTGAATGGAAAGTCATTGTTTCCAACACGTAACCTAATAATATATTAGATCTTGTCTTTCACCTCAGCAAATCCAATCTTGCTTTAAATATTATTCTTTAGATAAATTTCAACGGTACAATTAAAAATATCAACAAGACATCTAAAATATCAAGCCCAATAGGGCAACAAACTAACTTGTTAAAAGCAAAACTAATGCGGACAAAAGCAACACTAAAATTATTAGTCCACATCACCACAATTAGCTATAAGAGCATCCACCATCATGCTATCTATTTTTTAGTCAAAATTTAGCTAAAAATACTATAAAGCTATTTTAGGAGTTCTCTATAAAATTTCAACTCCAATCATACTCCCTAGTTTAAAGAGTCATAAATATTTTTAATAAATTTTAATTCAAATTTTGAATAAAGTGTAGACACAAAAGCAATAATAAAAAATAGTTTGCATAAATAAATGCTTAAAATAATATTAAATATAGAAGCATTTAATTATAAGAAGTCACTAGGAGTACTTTCTCTCTCCTCAGATTTAAGAGCTCCTAGAGGTCTCCATATTTTATGAGTTGGATAGAGAACATGGTTGGAGTTGAGTTTTTTCAATTCCTCCCTAAATTTTAGCTAAGGATGTGGTTTAGAGAGCCCATTGTGGATGCTCTAAGCCTAAACAAAGCTCACAAACCCAACATAACCAAAATCCTAAATCAACTCATGACCCTAAACAAACCCTACCACTACCACCTGAAGAAGCATCATCACGACCACACCCATCACCTCATCCATAACAGATCTGGAGAAAATGTGATTTCCAGCAATCTACCTGCGCATAAGAGCGAACAAATAAACGAAAACAATAACTTTGCCAAAGAACAATTAGGTGATTTGTACCTCCGTCAAAGACTATGTAAAATTAAATTTAAAAAACATGAGCGACGTCAGGGAGCAGGTTTTGGGAGTAGGATTTGATTGAGAATATAGACTAAAATGAGTGATGGAGAACTTCAATCTAATCATGGTTTAAAAGAAACCACCACAAGAGGCTTTTTATTCAAACCGCCCCAGTGAACTTATTCACTAACATAAAAATACAAGAAAAGAATAGGAGGAGGAGGGGCAGTGAGGCTTCCCCCCCCCCCCCCCCCCCCCCCTTTTCTTTTCTCTCACTAGAGCAGCTAGGGTTTGGGAAAAACAAATCATAAAATGGATCAAATTTCAGTTTTCTTGGTTGTTAATTGTCGTGAATTTGTCATGTGCATATAACTAATGAATATTTTTTATAGTAAATTTGGCTTACATTACACCCTTCAAATTTAATTTGCTTGCTCGCAACTCTGCATTTTTTGTTCCTATAAATAATATCCAATTTTTATAAGTAAAAACTCATCAATTTACCTTATTATGCTTAATATCTAGTTTATCGCAAAATACCCTTATTTATATTTCAACGTGTAATGGAGTGGTATTTTAATTTTTGATTCTCTAATTTATTGAGGTGGTTCCCTCTAAAAATTTTGTACGCAATTAGTCATCCGTTTTATTATTAAAATTCATTGATAGATATAGTCAACAATTAAATTTTGTTCCATATTTCCTGGATAATAATCTACCTATTTTAGAACTTGAATTTCATTTATTGCACCTAGTTTTTCATGAATAATAATCTACCTATTATTATTTTTTAAATAATAATGTACCTATTTCATGACTTATTTATTTAAATACAACATTTATATGTAGTTTTTTTTTCTTTTATGAATCGTATACCTATTAAGGTTTTATTGTACCTAAGTTTTCATGGATAATAATGTACATATTATTTTTAATAGACAGTTATTTAACTATTATTTTTATGGATAATAATCTACCTATATATTTTATGGACAATAATTTACCTATTATCTTTTATGAGCAATAAACTACTTATTATCTTTTATGAGTAATAATGTATCTATTATTTTCTCCTATGAGTAATATAATGTAATATATGTAGGCATGAAAATATTATATATGGACCCGTAACTAACCTAACTTTCAATACTTTCATTTTCATCGAGACATATGCTTCATATTTTCTTGTTACTCATGACATCAAGTTGCTTGTGGTATTTTGATAGAGTTCTCTCACCAAAAAAATCTGGATTGTTTTTTTTTTCCTTTTCTTGTTTCGTTTTATAATGTTTTTTCTTCTTTATTTGAAATTTGTAATTTTGCCAATAGCATATGTTATCTATATATATAAAGTAAAATGCAGAGAATGGTAAAATATTCAGAATATCATAAAATGTCATTGGTTAATGCAAACATTAAGAATTGAAATTATTAATTAAATAAGGATAATATGGTAAATTCACACTTTTTCATATTTAAAAAAAATTAAAATTAAAAGAAAAATCAGATAATAGATCCTATTTTTATGGAACATAACTACCCATTATCTTTTTAAATTCTAAAATAAATTTAAATTTTTTTTAAAAAAAACCTCACGCTGAAGCGTGTGTGGAGAGGCTAGTGTTGTATTATTGGTGGGTTATCGTCTATATTTTTGAGTTACAAGGGCCTATTTTAGCATGGACCCTTTTTTATAGTATTTTATTTCTAAAGTATGTTTGTATATACTTTATAAATAAGGTTAATCATTTTATTAGTCCCTGAACTTGTATCCGATTTGCATTTAAGTCCCTCAATTTCCAAAATCATTCCCGTGGTCCTTCAACTTCAATTTCGTTGGGACAAATGGTCATATCGTCAATTTTATTAACTTTTCTGTTAAATACAGAGGCAAAATAAATTTTTTTTTTATTAAATTAATTAAAATATGAATAAAAAAACTAGAAAATTAAAATAAAACTCTCTCTCTCTTCTTCACATTCACACATCTTGTTTGGATCAATGATCATGACCCTATTCATCTCAACATCTATGCTGCACCAACAAACAGAGAAAAAGAAAAAGAAAAAACCTCTTCGTTGAAGAAAACAGACTTTAGGAAAGTGGTTCAGGTAGCTCAGCTGGGTACCGAAAACGTGGACTCCCGAATGCGACCAAGCATTTCAAAACTTGAAGAACTACATGAGCCAGGCACCACTGTTATCGAAACCGTTGCCAGGCGAGGTGCTACTCCTATACCTTTCGGTATCCAACACTGCCGTTAGCTCAGTATTGATAAGGAAGCCAGAGAAGGCGGAGCTACCGATCTTTTATGTCAGCAAGGCGCTCCAGAGCGCAGAGCTTCGGTACCCACCCTTGGAGCAACTAGCACTGGCCCTGGTCGTCTCGGCACGAAGACTTCGCCCCTACTTCCAGGCCCACGAAATTACTGTTCTGACGAACCAGCCTCTTCGGCAGGTACTGCAGAAGCCGGAAACATCTGGCCGATTGGTCAAATGGGCAATCGAGTTGGGAGAATTTGACATACAGTTCAAACCAAGGCCTGCAGAAAAAGGCCAGGCCGTTGCCGA